CACACACACACACACACACACACACACACACACACACACACGCTTCTCCCCAAAAGCATGCCTTCATTATAGATTAGTTTTCAAGAATGATTTTCTGTATTGAACTGGGCGTGAGTCAAAGTTAAAGACTGACTTGATGTCTGTGACACGAGTTAGTGCCATGCTAGTAGACCCTGGCAATGTCTTTATATTTTATTCACACAGGTTTCCCTGTTGTTTACTTGGAGATGAAGACCACAGCATTTCACCATGTTTTTGACATGATTGGTTCAGACACATCATCTTCTATTTCACCTTCATTTCAAAGAGAAGAGGATTCCGGGGTTATCATATTTTTATTTCTGCTGCTCATTTTCTGAGCTCTGACAGTAATTATATCACATGTATTTGCACTGTGTAATTTTTCTGGGACTTTCCCTTGCAGAGAATATTCATGACAGTTTTTACCTTTTTACCCTTCAACTTGACTGCTGGGTCAAATTGACCCAAATAGCATCTATGTAATATGTAGACTTGCTTTCTGCTGTGCTCAGAAAGATCTCAGATGCAAACCACGGATCAAACCCAGGACCTTCATGCTGTGAGGCAAGAGTGCTATAATCAGTCGTTCTGCTGCTTAATTTAAATACTGTGTTGGGATCTTGTGTAAGCTGCATGTACTGTAAATGAATGACTTTAAATGGACAGATTTGTAATCTTTTCTCAACATCTGCATTTTCTATGTCTATTAGAATGTTTAAACAAATGAACTCCAAATGCATATACCCAATAAATGTGCATCATATTAATCGGGGTATGAGCTCTCAGGAACTCTCAGGAAAAACAGTCAGAAGGTCTCTGGAGGCCTAGTCTGTGTCTTACATGGGAATTTTTTATCTTAGTCTCTTATGAGGTTTTCAATGAAACCTGATGCTTTTTTGTTTATGGTCTGACGTCCAAAGCTGTTGGATTTGATGTCTGAGGATGTCCTAAAATGTACTACTGCCTTACTGCCAATGTTTATGGCTCACAAGGAGTCAAATGCAGTTTTAAATAGGCAGTAGGGATACAGGTTGCAAGAACTAAAAACTGAGGCATAGCAAAAGAATAAAAAATAAATAATTTAAAACAATGATACGCAACCTCTAACTTACCCTTGATGCTTAGACGGGTGAGAACAGTTAATGTATATGTAGTTTATATTTATATTTATTTAAACAAACCTAAAAAAACTAGGAAAATTGAATGTGTAAATAGGATTTTTTTTTTTTGCTAACCCTCTGTAAAGGTCATATTATTTTTAAGAGAATTCAAATTATTATCAAAACTTTGTTTTATGGCTTGTATATTGTCATTTCTGGGAAATTGCAAAAGCATTTGTTGTGAAAGAGCTGTGCAGCTGGTGATGTAGTAATAGATACTGAATTGTGTAATACAGAGAACTCGTGTGAAAATAAAAAGAAAGAGCTAGAGTTCAACACCAGTCAAGAAAAGCAACAGGGTAAATATAAAAAAAATCAAGCGAAATATATGAATTAATTTATTTATTTTTGTCATTATGTAATAAATATTGGTCAGATGAAACACCATATAAAAATAAAATGTTCTTTTGGCTTCATTGCTCCATGATCTTCAGCTCTCACTGGAGCGATTCACAGCAGATTGTGAAGCATCTGAGACGAGGGTCAGCGCCTCCAAATGGTCCTCATTCAGAAAAGGGTGGCTTGTTCTCTCTGGGTTGAGGATGAGATTCTGCATCAAATGGAGTTTAAATATCTTAAGGTTTTGTTCATATTGAGGGAAGAATGTAGGGTGTGATTGAGACAGACTGGTGCATCTTCTACTGTTTTTCAGACTCTGTACCAGTTTGTTGTGATCATGAGAGAGCTGAGCTGTAAAGAGAAGCTCTCTGTTGGTTGATCTACATTCATACTCACCTGTGGCCATGGGATAAAATCAGTCGAAATGAGTTTTCTCCACAGGGTACTTTAGGGATAGGGTGAGAAGTTCAGCAATCCAGGAGAGACTCAGCCGCCGCTCCTCTACATTGTGAGGAGCCAGTTGAGGTGGTTTGGGTATTTGATAAGGATGCCTCATGGATGCCTCCTTAGGGAGGTGCTTCAAGCTTCTCTTACTGAGAGGAGACCCAAATGAATACTTAGGACACGTTGGACAGACTATGTTTCTCGTCTGACCTGGGAATGTTTTGGAACATGCATTACAAAATTTGTAATAAATATCACGACTCAAATGTTATCTCTGATCTGTGAAGCTGGTGGTGCTACAAGTAACTCAATGTCATGACACCCAGTCTCCCCTCCTCCATGCCTTTGTGTTAAATAGGGTCGTAGTAGTGGTGATCCTGGATTCAATAAATAAATCAGTCACATCAGTGTAGACGGATATGCAGGGGAACAATAGAGCCTTTGCTGGTCTGCTGAGTTCCGCTTGTACTTGGTGGAGAGGGGTTTTGGTGAAAAACGACCTATTGTCTCCRGTCCTGATACTGTGTCAGAACAGTGAGACAAGGATGCCCAATAGGGCTGCTCTACTTTAAAGCATAAAAAAGTCTGTTCTTTAGCCACATGGGCAGGTAAGTACAGATTTTTATTGCTCAATTCTTTCTCGGATGTGCTGTAGATGTTGGAGCTCCAGTTGTGCATTTCAACTGCTTGAATTTGTAATAGAGCAATAGGACTGAATGACATGTCTTTCCGGTTTGTTGTATTTGCATCAAATCRCAATTTGAGCCAAGTTAAACCGCTATTTCCATTAATACCAACCTTAAAAAAGGTTGATGCCATAGTGTAACAACTGCTACATCATTTTTTTGTTTTTATTGTTTCACTTTGAAACTCTGTTGATTTTATTTTTTCCCTCTCTTTGGACATGTCTTTTCAGTCATTCTTGCATATCCATGGGGAGCCATATATCTGAATGGGTTTTCTATTTTTTTCTGGATGATGACAAGCCAGAATGAAAACAAGTGAAAAAGAAATGAAACACTTTTTGAATTTTTAAAATGTAAGGAATAGAMWGTATAGTTACTTGAATGAAAATGTGAGAAGCAGAAGTAAAAATGTTGGCTAACCATAACCATAAAAAGTTGGCTGTAAAATAACCAAAATTTCCACTTRAGTAAAGTAACAAAGKACTTCATTGTTTGACACCTCTTGTATGCTTATTTATGTGTGCAAATGTTAACAACTGTCTATGATACCTGTAGTTATATATAAATGGAAAAAATGTGTCCCATGTGGAAAAACTGTCAGAATGTTCCTACGGTTCACTGAGCAGAACTTGACAAAGTTCATGCAACTCCAATTAGTGAATCCTGCAAAGAGCTACAGAAATCAAATTAACTTTAAAAAAACTTATTTTAGTAGTATTTTTACTATATCTGTTAGATAAAGAAAAATTATAGATAAAATAGATAAAATGTAATATATTGATTGGTGAGGCTCTATGTCAAAAGGCTTTTAGCAATATTTGTACAAGTAATGCACTAATAATTTGATTCACAATTTTTGCCATTTTAATTTTGAGGGTGAAAAAAATGTAAATGTTTGGAAAACACAGACATTGGGTCTATGATTATTAAGCAATTCYTAAACTTTAAAAGTTATATTATGACCGGAGGTTATTGTAAGTCTTTCATCTAA